CTTTCAGTGCACAGAGGAAAGTGCAATAGCCTGAAGACAAGAATGAAGACAACCCAACCTCTTCTGGTTGGTGGAGTTTTTTTCTTTTTTTTGATGTAATTCTCCATTGTTGGAAAAAATAGGTGCCAGAGCCCTGAAGAGTCGTGTCCCTGATTTTCATCTAACCTTGCTTACTGTTCTCTGGAAGTCAGGGCCATTTAAAGATTTTACAATAAGTTTTTATATCTGGAAAGTTAGAACATTAAAGCACATTGAACCAGTGGGTTTTAATTGATCTCATACTCAGAAACACAGCTTTTGCAGCAGCTTGCAAGTACGAATGTCAGCTCCAAGCGTGGTGATTGCTGCCATAACCAGGCTCATTAACTGCAGCAGAATTACTTGTGATAATACCCACTCCTCGCCCATAGGAAGATTTTGCCACACACAGCACTGAATTTAGCGTGGAGTGAGGAAATACAGTTTGGCTGATGGAACTTTAAGGGAAAGGTTACACTTTTTTTTTTTTTTTTTTGTGTAAGTATCTCATTTTACTGTTCACACCACTGGTCTTTGATCAAATTAACATTTTACTGTAAGGAGAAGAGCACTCGGTTCATGCTGTTCATTATCTTGTCAGGAAACATGGGGAATAATTTAAACTGGATATATTGTGTAAGGCTTTTTTTCTTTCCCTTTTTTTTTTTAATTGGAAAGCCCACGGCAGCGTTGCGATCGTGACCTCCCGGCTCTGCCGTGAGCAGTACGATATTTACCTGCTCTATCAGGCAGAATGAAAGTGTTTTGAAATATTTTCTTACCAGGGAGGTCATTCTGTGCTAGAAAAACAGTGGTATAGGAATTAGGAAGAATTGTATGAGTGAATTATCCAGAAAAATAGGGGGTTTAGTCAGCAGTGGATCTGCATGATCTTCATCAAAGCCACCTGTGTGACTGTCACTGGTCATTGAGGGTTTTCTTGCCTGTGCATAGGATTTAGAAGTAAGAAAGCAGTAGTTTTAGCACTGATGGATGAAAAGCAACTGTGCTGTGGCATATCCAGTACCTCAAGGAGCTCCCAGAGAGCTGGAGAGGGACTTCAGGCAAGGGATGGTGGAACAGGACAAGGGGCTTCCCTCTGCCAGAGGGCAGAGTTGGATGGGATATTGGGAAGAAATTCTTCCCTGTGAGGGTGGGCAGGCCCTGGCACAGGTTGCCCAGAGAATTTGTGGCTGTCCCATCCCTGGAAGTGTCCAAGGCCACATTGGGGCTTGGAGCAACCTGGGATATAGCAGAAGGTTTCCCTGCCTATGGCAGGGGGGGTGGAACAAAATGGTCTTTAAAGGCCCTTCCAACCCAAACCATTCTGTGAATCTGTAGATATTTCTTAGCTGAAGTGGCATGGTTTCATGCAAACAGAAGGTTATGTGAACTTTCCCGTGGCTCCAAGTTGTGCAAGATTCCTTGGGTTTATCCATTTTCCATACTGGGCGCCTGTCTCTGGCTGTGCTCTCTTTTTTCATTTCAGGAAAAATTGTCCAACCATTTCTAAGAACAAGATTAGGGGAAAAAAAAAAAAGAAATTCCCCACATGTTATGAGTTTTTCTTGCTGTTTTGGTGAGGAGCCTGCTGTGCCTGGGTTTAATAGAAGGGGCTTGACACTTGAGGAAAGAGGGTTTGCCTTTTTCTCAGGGTTGTATCTTCTGTTGCTTCAAGTAGAAAAATCAAAAAAAGAAGTTAAAACAACAACAAAAAAAGAAGCCCCAAGTTTGGCCAGCCTGTAAGAGTCTGGAAAGAAAGAGTTCACACAAATTCAACAGAATCTGGTTTGAATTTGTCAGCTTTGCTGTCGGTGCCTGTCCCAGGCACGCTGCAGTCTGTCACTGGGTGAACATTAACCAGCCAGGTTTTCCTTCTCCTGGATGTGATGTAAGGTTCTGTGCCACTCTGGCACAGGGGGTGCATGGGGAGGGCAGGCGCTCCCCCAGCCTGCTCCGGCAACGACAGGATACGGGACACGGTGTGGGAGCAGGAAGGGGAGAGGGGTTCGTGGTGGGGAGGAGGACTGGGACACTTGGAGGACATTTTGTGAAGACTTTTGGAGAAGAAGGAAGGAGGAAAAGAGGAAGGAGCTCGTGGGGGTAAGGCTAATTCCGGAGGTTTGTGTGAATTCGTTAAGTTGTGCGAGGTGTGAGCTGGCTTTTGCCTGCCTGGAGCTAAAGGCACTGTGAAGCTCAGAGAAGATGAAAACAGTGCTTCCAGCAGCCAAAATTAGGAAGGGGACAGAGTGAGGACCAGGAAGGAGTGGGAGTCAAGGAGGCAATTCCAGAGGGGTTAACAGGAGAGCGGCATCGCAGGCACTGTGTGGGGTCTCGGTGCAGGTGAGGAACGGGCAGAGGCAGCTTGTGCCACACTGTGGTCGATGCTGCCATGCAGAGAGATGTGCCAGGGCTTGAGGAACCCAAATAGCTCCAAATGGGGGTTGTGCCAGTGCATTCATTAACGTTTCTGAAGCACTTAGATCCTCTGGTGGTGGAGCACAGCCTGTGAGGAAGTGATCAATCCTGTCGGCAGAGGAGGGTGGGAGTAGCTTGCAGTAAATAAAGTTGCAGGGGTCACACACGGAACAAGGAGGACAAAGCAAAAGATCCATTCACTGAGCAGTATTCATCCCAGAGCTGGATGGAGTAGAGACTCACTGGAGAAAAGCAACAGCAGGTCCTGTGTGCTGCCATCCCACCTCTCAAAACCCTGCACTCAGGATTGGCTTTTCCAAACTTGTAAGTGCTCAAATTTGAAACTACTGTTCTTTTAATAGATTCTTATGTGTCATTTATAATTTATATTCCAACAGCACCCAAAAGTGCTTTCCAGACGCTGAGCACATCTGTAATTCTGGCTCTAAAAAGCTTCCATTCTTGGGAGGGGGGGGGTGAAGAGGAAAATTGACGAGTATTTCCCAAATAGAATTACCCGAAGTTTGTGCCGATGTATTTTTAACAATGCTTAGTCTGAAACCTTGTCAGATATTATTCCAAGGATCACAACAGGTGTTGTGAATTGGCTGGGGAGGCTGTGCAGAAAGGGCAGCTGACAGCTCACTGTATATGCAGATGTACCACCTATTAGCAATATCCTCTGTGGTTTGCTCGCATGCGAGCTGAATAGATTCTCCAAACAATGCTGCAGTGAATGGAAGCCATCAGCAGAATTGCTCAAGGCTGCAAAACCCATTACTTATACAGCAGTAGATGCAAGAGCAAGTGCCACAGTGTAGTAACTTGTCCTGCTTTGCTGGAGTTGTTTCGCTGTTGTTAGATCAGTATATGTAGCTCCACATCTAATAAAGTACAAGGAAATAATTTATCTCAGTGTGTATCCTTAGCTCAATATTTATCCTAATATTTCTCTTTTTGTGCCTTTTTAGTGCTGTTACCATTTTTCCCAAGCACACAATAGGTTGTGTGCCCTGCTCTGATTATTAGAGCCACGACACTGTACTTTTTACAATCACATTTTAATTACAGCTGTAGAACCCTGTGCAAAATCATTTAATACAATGTTGTGAGCAAATAGCGCAGATGATGCATTTAGTATTTGATTGCTGTTAGTTTACTCATTGATTAAACATGCAGAGGCTCTGCTTTGACTGGTGAGAAAGTCAGAGACCACACACACACAGGGGTATAGTGTTCATATTTGCTATAGATTTATATTTGCTATGGATTTATATTCGCTATAGATTTTATATTCACCATAGGTTTTATATTTTCACTACATGTTTATATTCACTATAGATTTTATATCTGCTGTATGTTTTATATTTGCTATTTCAGATGGCTTAGGTTTTCCAAAGGAGTAGCAAAGGGTCTGGCGCACAAAATATGACACTTTCTGTGGCTTAAAAATGGCAGTGGGAATTTATCGTTCTGTAAAGGAAGGGACCCATCAGTGTGAAGGGTAAAAGCTGGTCAGAAAAAGTTTTGACCTTCCCTGGTGGCAGCTAATGGGTTTGGAAGAGTTGGTGATGGGTCTTGCAAGTGGAGACAGAAAATTATTTTGGCTGTTTTCTGCTAAAAGCACAGCATGGTTTGCATGGAGTAGCCCAGGTGAAAAGCAGTGATTGCTGAAGGAGGTAGGCAGTGTGGGTTTGTAACAATAAAATCCATTTCTTTAAACAAAGAGAGAAGACAGTCTGGCCAGGAGGAGAATAGACTGTAAAACAGCCAGGTTTTGTTCCACTTCTAACAGAAGCTTGCAGACAGTTATGGAAAGGACTTTGCTGCTATTTATTGCCTGAAGTTACTGATCCATCTGTCTCTACCCAAACTCTTGTACAGACAATATTTCCTCATAATTCTGCCTTTCTCCTCTCTATTGTTATTCAATATTTAGATGGGAATTTTGACCAGTAGCCAAGTCACAGGCTTATCAGCTCTTGCGTAAATCCTCAGCAGTTGGTAACCGAGCTGTGCAAAATTGTCACTTTAGGGTTAAATATTGTTGAATAAATAGACCTGCTGAAAGAACAGAATCTAACAGTTCATGTTTGGGGGAATAATTACTGCAGAAAGACAGCCCACAACATTGTATGTGTGTTTGAGAGAGTGGTCAGAATATCTTTTAATTCAGCATTTACCCATGAGAATTATTCCCATGAGGAGCCTTGCAATAAAATCTGCTTGGTCTATGAGAATAGAAAGAAATTGAATAAAAAGACTCCATTTCCACTTGTATTTATTCAGTCTGGGAAATTCAGTGGGCCGCAGCATTAGTATCAGCAGGGGATTCCTTGCTCCTAGCGTTAAATTACTGTCATAATCGCTCAATTATTTCTTCCTTGTACTGTTTAAAATAAAAATCCATCACATTCTATGTTTTTTTCTAACATTTATTAGGTTGAGTGTTTAGGAAAATCAATTATATTCAGTCAGGCATGAATTGATGAATGTTCTTGTAATAATTGTCAGTTGTTAAACTGAATGTACTTTCTCTTTGCACCCCTTTTCATTTCCTTCAGAGGGCAGAGGTGGCTCAGAGAGAGGCAGAGACCTTAAGGGAGCAGCTCTCATCAGCTAACAAATCTCTCCAACTTGCTACGCAGATCCAGAAGGCACCTGATGTGGTGAGAGAAAATATTTACTGACTCTTACAGGTTTCTGACATTCCTGCAGTAGAGCTCTTTCAATTTATGCTCACAGCTATAAAAACAGCTGTTTGGGAGTCGTATTTTAACTGAAATGGAAGGGTGTTCCTTTGGGATTGCGGGTGGGTTCAACTTTTGAAGGGGTTGGTGGCTGGAGAAGGCCCCAGGAAGGACAGAGGTCACTTGGCTCCGTGGTGATCCATCGCTCTCCAGGGCTGCAGGTCCAGGTGGACAGCAGGGACTCCTAGAAATTATTTCACATTGCTAAGAGCATCAGCAGAGGAAAAATAGAGGCAGCAAACCTGGAGGACCAGTGGAGGATGTGGAGCTTCAGCCCGAAGGGACCAGCTTTGCCCAGAGCTCCCTCTTGTTACTCTCTGTGTCTGGGCTGCCAGAGGAACTGGAAATAAATGTGAACTCACTCCAGTTTTCACTGGCTACATCTAAAACTGAGAATTACACCTATAAATCCAGTGAAAGCAGCTTTGAAAATCGAGAAGGTATCGTGCACTCTTGCTTGTTGCCTCCTCTGTGTGCTTCTAAATAAAGGCAGCGCTGCTGTTTGGGGAGGTTGGCAGTGCTGACTCTGCTGATGGGACCTGCGGGCACACAGAGCTCCTACAGGACTCCAGCTGGTCCTGGGTAAACAGGTATCACAGATGAGCAGCCAGATTAGTTTGATTTTTGTTTGCCAAAGGAGAAATAGGAGTATTTAAATGTAAATATGCAATTAAGTGAAATTTAGTCTACTTCTAAGCAGCAGATTTAACAAACAAAAGAAATCATTGCTTTTTTTTTTTTCTTCCTTGCAAGCCATATACGGACTTGACACTGATAGCAGAGAAACACGTGGTTGTCTTTAAAAATCATTTGCAGAAAATGAGTAACAAACCATAAGTCCTCCAGATCTGTTTGGTTGTCTATTAATACAACCCAGCATTTCCTCAGAGAAGTCAGAAGATAGACAAGGAGGCTGCAAAACAAAAAATAAAAAGCCTGAATATCACTTGTAACTCTGAATTACCTGCCTCTTCCTATCTCATGTCCTAGTCTTATCATTATTTTAACATTAGGTCTTTCTTGTATTTAATAGTACTTCTGCACTTCATTTATATTTAATATGACAACTACTGCAGGATGAAAATGATCATTATCTATCTTATTTCAGACTCCACGTTCTAGTCTCAATAGGCACAAGCAGCAGATGATTATACAACTTGTGATGTTTCATGCAAGCAAATTAGAGGTTTTTTCAAGTTAAAAGTATAATTCAGTGTAATAGGAGAGTGTTGTTAACTGCTGTTCGTACATGCAGCTTTCTTAGAGTACAGTGGGGTGTAGTCACTGAGAATCAAGACAAGTGTTTAGAAGATATGGAAAAGGGCATTTTGTTGTTCCTGTATTCCCGGAAAAGAGGATATGGAGTCTATTTCAATCTGCTGCAGTGTCATCTTGAATTGTCAGGGAAGTGTTTGGGTGACAGCGTCGGTGGGTTGAATTCCCAGCTCTTCCGCAGGATCTTTGGTTTAATGCTCACCATCATTGTCTCTCTTGCTAATTGGATTCTCTCCTACTTGGTGAGAGTAGGTGTTTCTGAGGAACAGCCCCTAACCTCTGTAAGATGCATTTTAGGCTCTTTAATGGAATGTGTGTTGATTGCTGGGCTCGTGCTCCCCACACATGCACAAGGGTTTCCTCACAATCTTCTTGGAAGAGGTTCAGAGCTCTCCGATGCTTACAGCTGTTGATCTCTTAGCACAAAAGGAGACAAAGAGATGCTACAATTAGTCTCTGTTATCTTTTCTGAATAAATCTGCCTTCTCCTGAACCTCTCTCTCCTCTCCAATTTCTTGTCCTACTGGCAGGTCGGTGTAGGGTGGAAGTTTCTGACGTGGGGATGGATTTTGCAGCTGTGGGAAACTGGAAGAAGAAAGATTTAGGGAAGAGAATTTCTGAAAGTGGTGACCAAAGGGAGAATGGCCTTGTCTTAGAGCTGTCACATCTGTCTTCTTCCCAATGGAGGGATGCTTGCAATAATGTTAACATGAACGGTTTTCATGCGAGGAGCAAGTTCATTGGAAGTAGCAGTTTGGGGCAATTTTTGACAATTTTGCCTGAAACGTGCACTGTGCATTCAGAGAGCCACAGGCACATGGCCCTGCCGTTCCTGATTAAGAAATTCTGCTCCATTACTTCGGAATATTTTATCTGATTAGTATTTTGTAAGCACAGATTTTCATAGTTGTCAAAGCATTCGGGCTATTAATAATAAATAGATCTAAATAGAATCCTTTGACTTTCACGGTTGCATCTTTCCAGTGCACTTATGAAAGAGGGGAATTTATTCTCTCTGTTATCCCTGTTTTTCCAGGGAGCTGTCCTGGGCAGTGGAAAAGTTCATCTTCCAGTTTCACACAGTCAACCATGGGAGTCCCAGATTTAGGAATTGTCTCTGTTTCTCATGCCACCTGATGCCATGCTTGGTCCTTGCCAAGCTGCCCTGAATTCAGGCTCGTTGCCTTTTTTAATTTCTGTGGTCTGATACTTTGTTCCCGTTAGGAGCAGGCCATCGAGGTGCTGACACGGTCCAGCTTGGAAGTAGAACTGGCTGCGAAGGAGCGGGAGATCGCCCAGCTCGTGGAAGATGTCCAGAGACTCCAGGGCAGCCTCACCAAGCTGAGGGAGAACTCCAGCAGCCAAATCTCCCAGCTGGAGCAGCAGCTGACGGCCAAGAACAGCACACTCAAAGTAAGGCTCAGTTCTGTGCTCAGCAGCTGGTGGAGGATGTAACAGATATAATGGAACAGATATAATGAACAGATATAGTTATGTATAACAGATATAATGATATTGGGGTTTACTGGTGTAAATTTGCCATGGTTCTGCTTCTTCAGGATGCTGCTGAATTCTAGTTTCTGTGGCGTTCACAGAATCACACAATGGTTTGGGTTGGAAGGGACTTTAGAGATCATCTAATTCCAACCCCCTCCCATGAGCAGGGATGTTTTGTATTCTAAGTGATCACAGTTGTTTTAAAAATCTAAATTACCCAGTTCTTATTGTCTTGAAATGTGTTTTTGGAAAATTTGGGCTACCTTTGGAATTAAAGCCACCCCCAAACCCCAACATTTATTGACCGTGGATATGTCATGAAACAACTGAACTGAAAAGGCACAGAAAATCCTTCTAGGCTTTAAAACTTCTAATTCCCATTCCAGTGATTGGTATTGAAGATTTACCAGGAATGTTTACGGCTTATCTTTGAGTTTACCTGCTACCCCCTTCAGTTCTCTCCACTGGAAAAGGGAAATGTATCATTTAGAGCACAGAAACAAGTAAAATCAGGACACAGAGAAGGCTCTTAGCCTTAATAACCATTTCATTATTTTTTAACTATTTGCTGCACAATAATTCCCATTTATGATTAGTGGTCTGGCTTCTGTACTCACTTGCATACAGCACTGCACTAGAACCAGAAGGAACAGCTAAGATTTTTCTGAGTGACCCTTTTACCTTCTGCTTGGGCAGCTTCACTTTCTTTGTGCTGAGCCCACACAGTTCTGATCTCTTCGTGAGCATGAGAAATGTTTCCTGACATGTGCTATGAATCAGTTTCCTGTAACTCCCGTCCCTTTCATTGTTCCACCATCTCTGAGCTCCAACGTGTAAACAAGATAAATTTATCTATTCCATTAAAGACTTGGTAGTTTTGCAGGTTTGATTGTCTGAGGGTTTTTGGAGAGCGGGAGGCTGATAGTACCCACTCAGCTCTGACTGTGGCGTGGGCAGCTCTGCTCTATCAGAATGATTTAATGTTCAATTGAAACTCTTACAAATTGCTCTAATTCTGACATTTTTTTAAGCAGTTACTAGTTCTGCTGTGGTGGAGCATAATTTACATGGAGAGATGTCTGTTAGGAATGGAAGCTGAAGTGTTGCAGTCAGTGCTTTCTGCGTGTTTAAACCAGCTTTGCAGAATTTTTATGAAAATTCAGTGGAGCAAAGGACACCTATTATGCAACTATATTGACAATATCAGTCCCTGCCCACCTGTCACTGTGTGGGCACCACTTTTATTGAGAGTGAAAAGAGCTGCCCTGGTTTTAAGGGACACATTTTGCTGGCTACACCCATGTTAGAGGTTTTTTTAGTATTTCTTTTCATTTTTCATAAAGCCTGATAGAAAATATCTTGAGTCCTTGCACTTGACAGATTTTCCTGGAATAAAGCATGTTCCTGGTGAGGTCAGTATTAGTTTAGCCATTAACTTCAAAGGGAGTAGGATCATAGAAATGACAGAGCAAGTCTTTGATTTCCATTTCAGTAATCTCCTTCCATTTTCTCATAGCCTTGCCCGGCTAATGCTCTGTATTTAGCTCTCTGTTGATAGTGTCTGATGCAGTGCCTCTATTGATAAAGTTTTAGTCATTTCAACCCTCTTTAACCTTATTTGTGGCAACTATAAATAATAGTTCAAAGTACTTACTTTCCCCCAAAGTGCTGGGAAAGCCTGTGCCAGAGCTGTGTTGTACAAAGCACCAAATCTCAGTGACAATGTGTCGATCTCATGTTTGATTATGGAGGAATTGCTTCTGAAATAACAGAGATGGTAACAGTTGCCTCCACGAAAAAAAAAACGGACTCAGAGTTTCACAAATTAAAGCAATGTTCTCAGCCTGTATCTTGGGGGAATTGTTTAATACTCTATGACTTAATGAAACAATACAGAAATACTTTCAAAATTATTGCTTCTTTATCTTCATCTGATCTAATAATCAAAACATGTCCTCTAGTAACAAGACTTTTCTAACTCTAATTATATTAACCCTTTGTGGGTGTTAGAACATCCCTGATACCCAGTTTAAAATACAGCAGAAGATGCCTCAAATAGCCTGGGTTAATTAAATGTGGGCTTTTTAGTTTATCGCTCTGAACTAACCTACAGCATTAGTCTAATGCATTTTTTAAGTGTTTTAAGCCCTTAACACAGCCCCTGCTACTTACCTATGACATTTAGGTTAAAAAGACAGTAAAGATTATATTTTTTAAATAACATGAGAGAGGATCCAATCTATACACGCTCTGACATGGGTTCATTCATAACACAAATGCAAGACGAGTCTTTAACGTGGAATATTTGCAAATTTCACATGCAGAAATGCCACCAGTTCATCCCTTCTGCCCTCTGGCTCCTGCATTTTCCTGTGTTGGAGGTCGTTAGAATATATTTTGTCTGAATTAACCAGGTTGATATTTAGTGCAAGATATTAGTTCCTCCAGATTGTCTCACAGCTTGAACCTTTGTTATCCCGTGTTCTGTGCGTTTTACAGGGTTCTTTGAGACAATTACCATACTAATACATTTTAAAACAGTCATTGACTGGGAAGATGCCAAGTGCCTAAATGGTCTGCTTATACACAGGCACTGCATCCTCACTTGTTAGTTTATATTGTTTGGGAAAGTAAACGTTTAGGTGCAGATTTTCCATGGCAACAATCTCTGTATTAGATCCTTGGGAATGATGGATATATGTGATTTTTATACAATTCAAAGTAAAATATTGCTGGTTGCCATACTGCTATAGCAGCATGTGAGTACCTGAGAGTCCAAACCAGCTTCACTCTGTCAATATCTATTTTTTTCTTTATTTTTCTAACTGTGCTTTGTACCTGAATTTTCCAGAAATACCTTATCAGGATATAGCTTACCCGAGCACAGAATTACATTTAATATAGATTGCATTAAAATGGGAATCATTAGCTTTTCTGTGGTTTATGTCTGTCTCTACAAAGGGCTGTTTTCTTAGCATATCCTTGCATAAGTAACTAACATATTAATCCAGGATATTGTTTGTTTTAAATCTATTCTGGTACTTTTTGTTGCGAGGACTGCTATAAATAACCAGTTATCCCTGCTGTAAAAGCTCATCTGCTGTAGACCCAGAATGTTTTGAGCCACAGAGTTAAGGAAGAGGTGAATTGTGGTGTGTCTGTGCCGGGGAGCACTAAACAGAGTCAGAAGCAGGTGGCAAAGTGACATGACCGAGGAGAGCAGAAGGATGTCGTGTGGTGTTTGGCCGCTCCTCCCATTCCCTGCATCCAGTTTGGAAGCTCTCAGTTGTGATGCTGAGTCTCTTCCCAGTACCAAGGACTCTCTGGTTTCATTTGAAGATCCCTCTCCAGCCTGATCTGGTGCATTAAAAATTCTATTTGGATTCCTTGTTAAAGTGACTCTGGCACAGCACTGAGCTGTAGTTGAGCTGCTTGAACTTGTGGCACTTTGTAGCTGGTCCTCCTTAAAAATCAGGGAACTGATGTGGCATCTCAGGCCCTGGGACTACGTAGTACATTCCCACAGTGACATTTCAACACATCCTCCAACATCTTTAACATTTGTAGAATTTTGCTGGTCACACCAACCAGGATTTTCCTCATTACATCAAGTGTAGGGCCAAAACACCTGTACCACTGTGTCTGCTCTTTAAAGCAAAGTCAGTAGTAAGTCAGGATGGATCAAAAGAAATTACTAAAGCTCGTCCTGTGTATATATTCCAGGTGAAAAAAATTGTTTTAGCTAAAACAGACATGTTTTTTTTTTCTTTTTAACACAATGGGAATGACTGCACAAGTCACTGATGGCAGAGGATGCTGGCACACGAGACCTTTTTAAGAGGCCACTCGTTTCATCAATGTCCCATAGAGTGCAAATTCCACACTGAGCAGCAGTTCCTGCATCCCTGTGACGAGCAGTGGTGGTGATCCATTAAGAGCTGCTTGTTGAGCAGCTGCCGGAGCAGGGCCCGTGTATTCCTGCCGGGAGATGCCTCTTGTCAGCAGTGAGTAAGGAGGGTGGATTATGGCATCAAACAGCAGGAACAGGAATTGAAGAGGGCTGTGTATTGATAACGTGGATGTCCACTTTGTCACTGCTCTTTAATATCCATGCTGATGGCAAGGCAGAAATGTCAACAGTGTGTGAGCTGGACGGGGCTGGGTAGGAAATCCTTTAAAAGATGGAATGTCTGGACATCCTGCAAAGCCCCACCACGCTGCTATCGTGTGGAGAACCCTCATTTAAGTTGGATAGGTTGAGATGGGTGATACCCACACACTGGCTTACTGGGGAAGGCAGCACAGGGAACAGGTTCCCAGTTCTGTTTGGTGGCCTGTCCCAGCCCTGCCTCCACACACCCATGGCTGTGCTGCTGCACAGCTTTGTGGGGCTGCATTTGAAACGGGTTTGCTAAAATTATCCAAGTTCCCGATAGCCCTCCCCTGCCCTCCTGCATTCAAGAAGCAGCCCCAGAGTGGGTGTAGGATCTTGAATTCCCTTCTCCCCTGAAGGCAACCTCTCCTGGACATAAAGCCCTATTTTTCTTTCTCATGTCATGCACTCCTTTCCTTTTCAAAGTAGATGCTCTGTCTTTGAGGTGATGCGTCCTTGTGTTATTTCTGTTTCCCGTGACCTTTGGGATTCTGTGACAATTTTAACACCAAAAATGAAGTGAAGCAGAGCTAGCCTGAACTTAGCCATGGAAGTTGCAAGCCAGTAAGTTCTGTTCTTTGCTTAGATCAGGTGTGCCTCCGCTAAGCAAAGAAATTATGAGTGGGAAATTAATGTGGCTTCTGCAAGCAACGTAACGGCATCAATTATGTATCACTATGTTTTAGGCCTCCTGAAGCATTTATCCTGTAGTGATGAGCACTGTTGTTGGGAGCTGGGTAAGGTCCAAGTGTGTGGCATTGCGTTCTGGATTGTGTCAGGGGTTTGTTTCAACGTTTGTGGCATCCTCACACCGAAGAGGAGCCATTGAGACCGCCCGGGCTCAGGTAGATAGACCTGAGCCAAAAGACCTGCTGGGCTGGTCTCAGTGCTCCATCTCCAGTGTGTAATCACATTAGTTATTGCAATAAGTAATGCTTGTAAAACGACCTGGTACAGCTGTTTGGTTTGGGCACGAGGCGTTGTGGAAGCCTTGCAAGCCTAAGGCGTCCCAGTCAACAACAGCTTCTTCAGTCTGTTCTTTTTATCATGTAGATAAGGTTATCAAGAGCTGTCGTATTAAGAACACGGTATGTGCCAAAGCATCCTGCTTGTTTACTCAATTTCCCAGTTTCCTAAAAAATTCCGGCGGCCCCATTTTTTTTTGATACCTTCCTCCCCTGATCTCTTTATTGAACACACGACAGTGACATTGCAAACAGCCAAATTGGGACCCACTGAATTCTGTCATGCTTGGCACTCTGTAAACAAAGGATGAGCGAGGTATAATTGTGTTTACGTTTAATTGGTTATAGTTTGTTTTCTAATATATGTAAATTAGGTATGAGTCATTAACCCTCACTTGTGCGCTGCTGTATATATGGAATAATTTGAAGATGATTTTGAAAGCCTGCAGAAAAAAAAAAAACAATCTAAATAATTAAATCCATCTTCTTTCTTTTAAAGCAACTGGAAGAAAAACTGAAAGGACAGGCTGATTATGAAGAGGTTAAGAAAGAATTAAAGTAAGTGTTAAATGCTTACATAATTTTTTCGCAAACTCTAAACAGTGCTTGTTAAATGAAGCCACAAATCTGTGTTCTTGGAACAATAAAGAATTCAGTCATAACCACAATAACGGGGAATTCAGGAATATTGGCAGAAATTGCATCCAGAACCAGTGGAACTGCTGTATCTGAGGGTGCTTCTCGTTGCAGCAGAGGATCTCAATAGCAAAGAATACACATGTCCATGAAGAAAAGCCACTAAAATTATTGCCCACAAAGGGAAGAAAGTTTGAAAATCTGTGGTATTTTAGATTGACCACTCTAAAAATCCCCAGCCAACAGCTGAGTGTAATGTGGACCAAAAATTTAGTGCAGAGCCTTTGGCCATGATACCTTTCTCTGCTTCTGGCAGCCAATGTTCAGCACTTACCAGTTTAGTGCTGGGCTTGTCTCACTGTATATTTTTGCTAATATATTGTGGTTTTAAACTAAAGCCACAAACAGCCTCTTCCTATTTCAAGGGATTTTCTTAAGAGACTTAAAAGGGCCTCATTTTAAACTATAACAAGATAAGCTGTCAGGTTCAGAAGAGAACTTTTTTGACTGGAAAGATGTTTAGTGTCAAGGTTTAAATAACTGCGAGAAACTCCCATCTCTTCTTTCATCATTCTGGCATTTTCTGTGTGTGCTTTAAGAAGACTGAAATAACCCGTTACCTTGTTTAATGAGGTATTTCAGATGAGGCTGGTAGTCATGTGCTTTTGTTTACACGTCCCTGGAGAATATGGAAAGCAGCTTTGGATTTGCAAGCCCCACGACTGCCCAGCCCCTGGTGCTGATATATTCAAGCCACGCTGGCTGTGGTTCTGTTTCACAGTGGGTGGATAGTTTCACTTAAATTGTATGAATTGACCATTTCTTTGGTCATTATTCCTGATTATTAACTGTTCTTTTAGCAATGGGGGTAAATATATCCATGTTCTCCCCTTCAGATTTCATCCAGTTTATGCCTTCATATGTAAAAGAGTGAATGAATGGGAATTAGACCACAGCCTTTCAATTTGCTACATGAGATACTAAATGTAAATGTGCTGAGACAGCAAATGAGTTTTGAATCCTACCTGGTTTAATGCAATGTGGGTGGGTTACAACAGGACTGGGGCTTTAAAGCCAGACTTCTGGTGCCAGGAACCCAATGTACACACTAAATACATTTAGGTTTACTTTGCATTTGCACTTTAGATACAAAGTCTGTATTCCTGGCAGTATTGCCTTCTTTAAAAAAATCTATTTTTTACAACACTGACTTACAGGGGGTTTCATACAGTGTTTCTGCTCAGGATGAGCCTGCAGTGCAATAGATAGGAGAATCTCCTGGGTGGCCCTGGTTGGGTGCCAGTAAATTAACCCTGTTCTCCCAGCTGTTACAGCTTTTATATCTACTAATCTGCCAGATAGCTTGGAAGTGACCTGGGGTCCGTACACCCTCCTGCAGGATGGTGCAGGGGGGGTTAAGACCCTCCATGACAGCACTGAGGATGTTTGCAGTGCTGCATCCTCCAAGCAGCTCACTCACACCACCCCCTCTGTCCCCACCTAATCCAAAGGATGTGCTAAAGGCTAAATGTGCATCACCTGGCAGTGACAGTCTGATCTGAAGTGAGGCTGTTGCTGGAAAGGACTATGAAAAGTCTTTTGCTGTAAATCAGAATCCCTCACACTGAATCCTGCCACACCTGCCCTGTGCCCTGAAACACTGACAAAAATGAACTGCTTATAACATCCACACCAAGAAAAGAGATGTCTTGTCAGTAAGTCAGAAAAAGAATATATTTCTCAGAGGTTTTTTGACACTGATGTATTTTCCTTAATCCTCCCCAGGATATTAGAGGCATTTTAGGCTGAGGGATCTCAATATCAGCCAACATCTAACCTTGGGGGAACTTAACTGGGCCCATGTCAAGATCTGGGATGGGGAGACTCTTCACTTTCTGCCTTAGCTTTTGTGCCCAATGGCTTTTAAACCTATTTTTGAGATCTGAGAGCTCTGTGTGTCCTTTCAGTTCCCTCTGGAGTAACACGACAGCGCTGACCCTCCTGCCTTTGCAGTCGGGATCAGACGAACAGAAAGTCGAGCTGTCCCAATGCACACTTTGCTTTGCACTGAGATCTTTCAAGTCAGCTTAGATGTGCAGATTCGAGTCACAAGATCGTTCCTTTAAAAAGCAGGTAACTGATCTTGAGCCACAGATTGAGTCGAGATCTCATGGGCAAAGATATTCCTGGAATCCAAAGAGGACACATTTTGCTTCCTCGTATTCCTGAGGAAAACGTCTCTTTTGTGACACATTTGAAGAGTCATTTTTGACATGTTTAACTTTCATATTTTTGGAAAAAATTATTCTCATGGAGTGAATAATCCTCTTAGGACAATTGGAGGTACCATCAGCTTGATTTTTAGTATATTTTTGGGTTTAAGTGTATAGGAAATTACCTGTGAAATTGCCAGGAATCTAATTCAGGTAGCAAAGAATCCACTTTAGGTAGGCAGAGGTCATTAAGTTTCCAGCCAAGGTTTACACGTGCCTGCTCCAAGCTCGCTGGAAATGTGGCTGCTGCAAGGATCAGGATCCTTCCTGAAGGTCCCAGCTGGCAGCAGGTGCTCAGAACCAAAATGCATCAGTTGGGCAGCCCGTGCAAGGAGAGGAATGGCAGGATCATGGCTTTAGAGCCAGACTTCTGGTGTGGAGAACCAAATACACACCCTAAATAGGTTTAGGCTTACTTTGCACCTCCTACCACTGCCAGCCTGGTTCTGGAGGCAGCACACTGTGGTCAGGGCACTCACACCTGCTCCTTGGGGAGCGAGCAGCTTCTTTTGGTTTAGCCTCATCCAGGAGGAAGGTGGTTGGGATGCTGCTGGACTGCTCCGCATGGCAAACCAAGTGTGGTAAGTGGGGGTCACTGGGAGACCCGTGTCACAAGTGCTGCTGGTCTGGACTGAAATGGGAGAAGCACCTGGGAACTGCCTTGGGAGGTTTGCCACGTGATAATTTGCTGTTACAAGTTGGGATTCTTTTAAATTCAGATGAGTCTCCTCATTTGACCATCATGAGGACGTGCATTGTGACTTGCTGTCCTTGCAGAGCCCATTCCCTGCAGAATCCCTGGATGGAAACAGTGACCTGCCAGTGTCTGGGGTTTCCCCTGTATGAGTCTCTGGGCATTTATCTCCCTCAGCACCTTGGAGTCCTGGGAGACAGAGCTGTGCCCCTGAAGGGGTGTCCTAATAAACACTGGCTTTCAGCAGTGATTTGCTACCTGAGTAAACACGTCTGTGTTGTCAGTATAATGTCACTCTAAGAACTCGAGCCATCAGTGCCACAACCCCTCTCTTTGACTGGCACAAGTCCATTGATAGCAGAAAAGAAGCCCTTCTGCACATGGGTGAGCTGTTGTGCCCTCATAGAGTCTTAACAGCATTGCTTTATGCACCATGAGGGCCCTACCCTACAGCCATTTCTGCTGGCAAGAGGTGTCATCCAATGCTGCCCATGTAATGAAAGTGATTGCCAGAAGTTTATGATTCTGTTAATCATTGTATTTTAGGAATGCCAGTCAGCATTAACACTGTATGCAGTGGGTATGCACAGATGCAAAATGCATCAGGTTGCTGTCTCAGAATGACCTTTTTGCCTTGGATTTTCTATGACTTTGAGTGACCTTGAATGACTCAGAGACCACTGATTTCCAGAGCGTCACTTAATGCACATTTGACTCTGGATTAATGCAGGGACAGGTTCATAGAGGAGCTGGACACCACGTGGTCTGAGGCAGTTAATGGGTGCCTGGTGGACTTGTAGTGGTATCCAGAACAAATCCCTGTGTCTTAATACTGTCCCCCTGCCTTTTTTTGATGCAGCTTCCACATTTTGTAGAACCACACAATGGTTTGGTTTGGGATGGACCTTAAAGCCCATCCTGTTCCACTCCCTGCCAAGGCAGGGACACCTTGCACTAGACCAGGTTCCCCCAAACCTCATCCAACCTGGCCTTGAACGCTCCCAGGATTGGGCCATCCACAACTTTCAGTACATGATCCACAACTTTTAATACAGTTTAACACATGAATAAACAGATTCTCATTGCCTCACAAAGTTCCTGGTGCTTTGTACATGAAAAATGCTATATAAACACTATCTGTATCTGTTTATGTGTTTCTCTTCACCAAATGAATGTTGTCTTTGTACAATAAGAAGCTGAAATCATTTATTGCTTCAGTCTGAGGAAGTTCATGTCCTGCCTGCAGCAGGCTGATTTAAAAAAATTTATATGACAAAGCACAGTAATAAGTTTGGATTCCTGTAAGATTCTGGTTTGCCAGATGAGACAACTCTAACTGAAAGCCTTTGAAGGGAGACGTCCTTTGACCATTCAGTATTTATATAAAATATTGACAATGAGACTATCAGATTCTTCTCTTAATGTACTTATAAATATTTGGATCTTTCATATTTCTTAAGAAATATTGTGCCATTTTGTCTTCCCTTTGCCATAGAACGAGGAGGTTATTAAAATGAAAAACTGCCTTTTACCCTGTAGTGTCTTGGTGGGGAAGATTATTTGTGCATATTTTCCTTGCTGGTGAGCTGGTGTATATTATATAAAGTGCTGTACTGTGGTGGTGATTCCCGTGTTTTGTTGCTTTGCTACGACTTCTTCATTCCCTTCCAGCTTCACAGATAAATTTATATCGCTTCTGACAGCTTAAAATGTTATATCCTTATTAACCTTTAAATTTACGCTTTAAACTGGCCTTGTGGGATTGCATATGGAATGATTTAGATGACGCTTGAGAAAATTTTCTTATCCAATAACTAGTTTGAATAGTTATTCTATATTCATTATGAGATTGTGTTACTGCAAGGAAAGTTGTTACCACTTGTAGTGTTGCTGGGGAACAGGAAACGATAATGTTAATGCTCGTTAGTGGAGTTGTTATGGAAAGGAGAAATAGAAAATAATTTTTATTTTCTGCCTTCCACAGTATATTGAAATCCATGGAGTTTGCACCATCTGAAAGCTCTGGTGGGCAGGTACTGAACCTACTTCTGTTGTCTTACTTACTTCAGCAGTTCAGTTAATTAACAAAGATTGTGTCTTGCAATTCCTTGGTGTTGGCATCGGCAGTTTCCTGTTGATGTTGAGACATATGGGTCGATCATTGTTTTTCCTGATGTTTTCTTATGAAAAAAGCTGAACTGAACATTTTTTGCCTGTTAATTTCTTTTAAGTGGACAAGGACAAAGTGATGTTTCAGCTGTGCTGGACTGAATAACCAAAATGTTGTGAAGTTGAGTCATTTAAAGATACTAGAAGTGGTTACAGGCAGTACGCTGAGCAAGGACTTCAGCATTTTAAAGTATTTATTAGCCTTGAAAATAATGTTCACAAAAGAAAACAAACCTTTGAGTACTGAGAAAGCTCTGATATTCCAGAAAATTAATCTTAATTCAGTTTAAAGGTTATGAATTAAAGTCCTGCTTCTGAAATCTGAACTGAATATCGATATCCTTGGATTAATTTTCTCTGAGTTTTTAATGATCAAGGGTTAGATATTGAGGGGAAGGTAAATAGCAGGTTTCTGTGGCTTTCTATTTTTGGACCAACTGTTTCTGCTGAAACACAGCATGTCAAGGAAATGCTTAACTTGGGTCAGTTGACCTAGAAGGAATAATATAATCTCAACTCCTGTTTTAATCAGATTAAAAGAAGTCTACAGCTTTTAAACTGAAAGTGTGCCAGGACCATTTAAAAATAAGTAGGATTAAGAAAATGTTCCGTTACACATCTCAAAATAATGCAGAATTGATGAATGATTTACAGTGGAAATTAAACAGCGAATCTCTTCCATGGCTCATGTCAGAGCCCGGAGTGATTCCCGCAAATCCACACACAGTGAACTCCCTCCCTGCGTCCAGAGAGGAGTCGAGCCCTTGTGGGTTTTTTTATTTTATTTCTGAAATCCTTTTCAGTGCCTGAGTGAGCCTCTCAATGCTCTTAGAAACAAACCTCCCACTCTGGTTCCCTTTAGGATGCATCCAAACCGCTGGAGGTGCTGCTGCTGGAGAAGAACCGCTCGCTGCAGTCGGAGAACGCCACTCTGCGCATCACCAACAGCGACCTGAGCGGTAGGTTGACACGATTTTTGGCTGTTCTGGTTCACTTGCTGTCTCGTGACGGGTGGGAGGGCTGAGTGAGAGCTGAGTGTCTGAGCTAATGCATGGCAGAAGGATTAAGAAGCAACAGGAACACTGAATAGCACTGGATTTCTGTAGTTTTATAGGCTGGATAATAAAGTAAAACTTGGAGAGCTCAGAGATGTCTATAAAGGTTGAGGAAGAGGCATTACAGGCTGTACCCAGTGGTGGCGTCTGAGGCTGTTGTCTGTTTTGGGAACAAATCCGTGGCACCAGAAGTCTCTTCCCCTCCCTCTCCCCCAGTGTTATGCACAATGTTTGCATGTAGAACATAACCTTCCTGTCTGATACACTTGGATGTGCCACCAGCAGGTCAGCTTGGGAAAACAAAGTCCTTTCTTTTTGGCGAAGCGTGTTTGCCGTTCCGCTTTCCTAATGTGGGCTTTTACATCTTGTGTGCACATTTTTTAAATGGCAAGTCATGGAATTTCCAGATACTCGAATGCTTATGGTTTTTGCAGCTGGAAGAAAGTTAAAAGTTGCCACTGGCCCTGGGATTACTGAATTCTGAAGTGTTTTATGACTTTTAGCTGAGTGATCTTGGTGCATCCACCTAATGGTGATTCCTTTATTCAAATTGGTTTGTTCCAAAATGTAAATGTTTGCTGCATTTGGGTTCAGTCAGGTCCAATGAGTCATGTCTTGAATGAGAGACAACAAAGAGACTTGCTGTCTGTAACTGCATTTATTTAACTGTATAACTGCACTTCATGTAACTGTTCTAGTGTTAATGTCTGTAAGGGGGATTCTCCAGGCTGCAACATACAAGAAAGGTGCAAACATGAAATGCATGTTGTTTGTTTTGGGGGCCTTGTTTGGCTTAAAAAATTTCAATTATGGAAAAAAACCAAAAACAAACAAACAAAAAACCAACCCAACCACAAAAACAAATAAAACCAAACCAAACCAAAACTCCCACCGCCACTTCATTGGCCTGTGTCAATCTGCACTTTTTTTTTTTCCCTTTGCGGGGCAAACTTTGCATTTTTTTTTTCATCTTGGTTTTTCCCTCTTTGACCCCCCATAATGCATTATGTTTGACCTTCCTTGTAGGGTCAGCCAGGAGAAAAGGGAAAGACCAGCCTGAGAGTCAGCGTCCTGCAACCTTGCCGGCCTCCCCTCCTTCCCAGTTGCTCCGCAACGCGGGGGAGCAGGCTTCCAATACTAATGGTACACACCAGTTCTCACCAACGGGTTTAAGTCAAGACTTTTTCAGCTCATCCCTGGCGAGCCCCAGCTTACCCCTGGCCTCCACAGGAAAATTTGCACTAAACTCTCTCCTCCAGCGACAGCTAATGCAGTCCTTCTACTCCAAGGCAATGCAGGAAGCAGGAAGCACAAGCATGATTTTTCCAACAGGTCCATACAGCACAAACTCCATATCTTCCCAAAGTCCATTACAACAAAGCCCGGATGTAAATGGCATGGCCCCGTCTCCCAGCCAGTCAGAAAGTGCTGGGAGCATCTCTGAAGGCGAGGAGATAGACACGGCCGAAATTGCACGTCAGGTGAAAGAGCAGTTGATCAAGCACAATATTGGACAGCGGATATTTGGACATTATGTGTTGGGACTGTCGCAAGGGTCTGTGAGTGAGATCCTGGCCCGGCCAAAGCCATGGAATAAACTGACTGTGAGAGGCAAGGAGCCATTTCATAAGATGAAGCAGTTCCTCTCGGACGAGCAGAACATCTTGGCTCTTCGCAGCATCCAGGGTAGACAAAGAGGTAAGTGCTCTCCTGCCCAGGGTCTCGCCCCGATCCTCCTCTTAGTTCCAAATGTTTCGAATCGGAAGCTTCCCCTCGTGGGGAGGTTTGTGCGTTGCTGCTGTTCTCACCCAAATCAGGTGTCAGGTACAGAAAGTTCAGCTTTGCAGCGCTCAAGCAGGTTAGTATCTTTGCATATGCTTTTTTTAGATGCTGGCTTGTGCCTGTCAGCAGGAGCAAGCAGCAGGGGCACTCACATCCCTCGCTTCCCAAGAGCTCCGTGTCGGAGCTAAATACGGAGTGAAAAGGGTCAGCAGCTACTCGGGGTATCAGCCCTCAGAAATACTCGCAAATTTTTATTTGGGGTTGTTTACTGAGACCAGGCTTTTGTTGTGTCTTGTGTGATTATGTTCCTTTTCCCCAAAGTGTTGTGACAAAATAGGGTAGGTGATGCATGAGATGAGTAATTAAAACACAATTTCAGTTTAAAGCAGCTTTGCATATTTAAGGCAGCGATTTTAAGAGGTAACATGCATTTCATTGTGATTTATCTTAAGACTGAGATTTACATTTAGAGAAACTGAAAAGTAAGTTGTTTACAGTCAAGAAATATTGGAAAGGACAGGCAGGGTTTTCCTAGATTTTGTTTAATTGGAAGCACACACTGTTAGATTTATAATCTGTTCTTCCTTTTGATGATTGTACTTGAGGGGATTATCTGCCCATCTTTAACCTCTTCATTTTTGGTATCTCTAGACATTTATTTATATCTGTCTAATCTCCTTTCCGAACATAGCTGTAATCTTTATTAACAAATCAGCCAGCCTTGCTTCTTCCCAAGTAGCCAGTTCCTCCGGCTCAGGCAGGGCCCCGAGGGGCCAGGAGAGCTCAGGGACAGGCTGCCAGCTCCTCATGTCACAGCCCATGATGTCAGAGCAACCATCCCCTGATTGTTTTGTTCTTACCAAACTTGTTTTTCAACAGAGAATCCAGGCCAGAACCTGAACAGACTATTTCAGGAAGTACCGAAACGAAGAAATGGGTCTGAAGGTACGTCACAGGCAGGTGTTTTTCTTTGCAGTCAATCCCTAGGAAGTGGAGTGTGCTTTTAGCTGTGTGTTTTCCTTAAAACTGTGCAGTTTGATTCTGGCCTGGAATCTGATAGAAAAACAGACAGTAAGTATAAAACAAACCATGGGTTAGATGAACACTTTGCTTTTTCTAATTCTGCTGCTGCTGTACTAACGTAACCCTGTTTGGATAGTTCTTCCACTCCCATCCTCTCTGCGTATGCAGATAAAAAGAGATAAGTGATAGAAGTGGCTTTATAAAATCACCTGATCTATTGAAATGCTCTCTTTGCTGTTCTTGTGATTTTGGAGGGAGAAAGTTGCACAGTTACACCAACAATCATATACTGCTTCTGCTCTTAATTTACTTCTTTCTTCTCATGGGGCTTATGCTGACAAATTCCACTTTATTACACTGTTAAATTAGTGTGATGCTTGGCTCAGTATTGTATATGAGAAAGACAAGATAAGTGAACATCAGATTGATAAATTATCACTGAACAGGAAGTCTGAACATTTTTCTTTGTTATAGATTAGGTTGCAGAATATTTCTTTTAGTAAGAGGAGGAAGAAGAAAAAACTAAAGCAGGGACCCCAAAAGTCGGTAGTTATTTTGACTCCAGTCATAAATTATCTAGCTCACTTACCAACAGTAATCTCATAATGAAAAATGCAGTTAAGTGCAGTAGCATTCGTGGTTTTCCCTCCTTTTCTTCCCCTTAGAGGTTAAAAAAGAAAGAAAAAAAAACCAAAGCAAAACCAAACACTCAGCTCTTACCTGGAGAGTACTTCAAATGGTATCTGCATTTAAGTGACTCTTTCTCTTCATGTATTAACCTCTAGAAAGTTAAAAATTAGTTTTATCTGGTTACTTTTTAATTCTGTTTGGTGCTGAATGTATGTATACTCATCCTACTTTGCCTAGCAGCTGATGCCATTTTTAAGTTGATTCTTGGGCTTATGTTTTTTAGCTTTCTTCCTTTCCCTTCTTTTCCCTTCTGTTTCCTCTCCCCCTCCAAAAATAAAAAAAAAATAGAAAAGGAAAGAGAATAGATCTATCTGTGTTGCCATAGAAAAGGAATATATGACCACTAGTTCTTCTTCTGATGTTCTCACCATTCCAGGGCAGCTAGAGGCAGGCACAGTGAGGATATTTTTATTTTATTATGTTAATACATTTTTGGTGGTGTAAAAGCCCTGTGTAAGCTGTCCTCAGGTTGTGCTGGCCGTGGTATCAGTATATCCAGTGTGTCTTTGTGTTACAAAAACAACCAGATAGAAGTTTTCCTGGTGTCATTAGTTCTGTTTTCCTCTCCAGGTAATATAACCACAAGAATCCGAACCACAGAGACTGGCTCAGATGAAGCCATCAAATCCATTCTCGAACAAGCCAAAAGGGAGCTGCAAGTACAGAAAACAGGTACGGCCTCATTTTGTCTCTGGCTCCTTCTACTTCAGAATTTAATTAAAACAATTGCCATGAGCTTTTTGGTCAGTTAATTATATCCTTAAAACCTTCAGCGTAGGTTTGAAGAGGTTTTTTTGAGGGGTTTTATTATTATTTATTGGAGTTGTTTCTGTCTCTACGACATCCCAGGTTAAGGTCACACGTGTCACGGCGTGGTGGGGTCTCTGCTCTGCTCCCCAGGGAGCAACACTGTGGGATTTCTGAGCACCTTTATCCCTGTGCAGAGCTCTGCCTTCTTTGCAGCCCTCCAGGCCTGCAGGGGCACCTACAGAATCCTTTCCTCTCCCAGTTTGCTCCTGGGAAAAGGAATGAGCTCTTACTTTCTCTTTTCTCTCTGACTCAGGCCCCAGGGACAGAACTGCTGGGAGAGGGAACTGATGGATTTGTCGGGGTGAAGGTCATGCTCTAGACAGCAATTACCATTCACACAGCACCACTGTACATCCTGTACCCAGATTATTATATAGGCAGACTCAGTTCTGACTGTTAGATGACTTTATTTTTGGTTACAGAATGTATTCAGTGAATGAACTGGCAAATCCTTTCCCAAAAAATCCATAGTTAAACATTTTGTCCTGAGAAAAGTTTAATTTCTCATTGTATGCTGTCATGTAATTAACATTTCTTCTGTTCCATAGCCCTCCCAGCTTTAAAAGAGTTCCTAGTACTGCTAAGGGGCTGAAGTGGAAATTACTGTGCAATTCTTATGTTTTATGTTTTTTAAAGTAAATACTGATTTACGGTTTTGGATATTTGTCTTTTCATTGAAAACTGAGTTAATCTCATGGCAGAATATAAAAGACTAGTTAATATATGACCTAAATATTATGACCTTATACGAGAAATTGTTGCATAGAGAAAAATAAGGGCTATGTGCAGGAAACTGCAAGCATGTTATTCAGTAACATGTTTCATCTGAGAACCTCAGACTTCCTTTCAAATATTAATTCATCCTCAAAACTCCCTATGAAACCAGCAGATAAAACAGAAGAGAGAGTCTCACTGTCTTTTTTTTTCCCATTTCTTAGCTTTTCATGTATTTTATAGTGCGTGACAGGAAGGAATGTAGGGAGGCAAATTCAGAAATGGATTCAGATGAGGCATAATATTACCAGAGTAATACCCAGCGTGTTTCAAATCTTATTTCACTCTGAGGCCACTTGCAGTGGGAGGGTTCCCTGCTCCTACCTAGTGCTTCACTTTCCCTGTTCTCTGTAGAGTAGCTTTCAGAGGAATTGGTTTTCAAGCACTGGGGACCTCAGTGGAGACAGACTTAAATAGAAGCAGATGCCATTGCAAAAACCTCCTGGCTCTGCAGAGATAATTCCCCACCCACGTTCCAGTCTCTGCTCACCCCCGACTGCTGCAGCACAGCCACCCAATTCCTGATACCCCATGGAATGCTGCATTTGGGGGTTATCTCTGCTGAAAGCACCCGTGGCTCCATCCCAGAGCTCTGGATAAGGCAGAGGGTGATGACCAGGTGTCAGCCTGGCTTTGGTAGAGCCGTTTATGTCAGTGGTTGAGACCATGGAACAAGAAAACGGGAAGCAGGAGCATATTTAGCTTGTCAAATGAAATGATGATGATCTCTTGCTAAAGTTCTGGCTTTGTTGTAATCTGTGTGTTATGTTTGTGGAGTTAAAAGGACTCACCTTATTTATACTGTAAGAGGGTATTAATAGTCTGTCCAGGTGAATGCAGCTGTGTTCAGTTCTGAGTGTGTGTTAGATTCATTTGTGGAGAAAGAGAGAAGTGAAAGGTTAAATAACTCTGTAAATACAACTGTAAAATGTTATTGACCACTTGGGCGTGGGGGAGGAAGAGGTGAAGGCTTGATTTTCAAAGGCATTTATTTGAAAATTTTTACAATGGTGGAAGTGCAAGTGATCCCAGACTTGTGCAGCTGAGTCTGTGCATGCAAACATCCAGCACTTTGGCAACTATCAAAATTTTCCAGTGAAGGACTTTGGAAATCTTACCTTATTTTGAAAAGTGCAAATCTTTGCTTAGTGAAAACTCCTCCCTCCCATCCTGAAATGTATTTCAGCCCCTTTTTTTTTTGTCTGTCAGGGAACTGTTTACAGTAGCACGTGTTGAATTATAAAGCATATTCCTGTGTTGCATTTAGTCTTTTGGTTGTTTTTCATAGCTGAGCCGGCTCAGCCGCCTTCTGCCTCTAGCAGTGGCAATTCTGATGATGCTATTCGATCCATTCTGCAACAAGCCCGACGGGAAATGGAGGCACAGCAGGCTGCCCTTGAACCTGCCTTAAAAACACCACCTTTATCTCAAGCTGACATTTCTATCCTGTCCCCCAAACTAGTGTCTACACCTGCAATGTCTTCGGTTTCCAGCTATTCTCCTTTGGCCATATCCCTGAAGAAACATTCATCTGTCACTGATTCCAGTATCTCTGCATTGCAGAACCTCTCTGGGCTCAAAAAGGAGCCTCAGGAGGCACCTGTTTTAGAGCTTCATGGAATAAGTGATTCTGCCCAGGGTATGTTGAGGCATGTTAAAAATGAGTTGGGACGTGGTGGTGTTTGGAAGGACCATTGGTGGAATACTGTGCAGCATGAGAGAAGAAATGCAGCTCTTCCCGAAGATGTAAAAGTTGAGGAAGCCAGTGGTGGAAAAGAAAAGGTCAGCAATCAGACTAGGCCAGATCGTAGCCAGCTCCAAGGACCGTCTTCTTCCGAGTATTGGAAAGAGTGGCCAAACGCGGAATCTCCGTACTCCCAGAGTTCCGAATTGAGCATGACTGGGGCGAGTCGCAGTGAGACACCACAGAATAGCCCCCTCCCTTCATCCCCTATCGTGTCCTTGTCCAAGCCATCCAAACCTTCGGTTCCTCCACTGACACCCGAGCAGTATGAGATTTATATGTACCAGGAGGTGGATACGATAGAGCTAACGCGGCAGGTCAAGGAAAAGCTAGCAAAGAATGGCATCTGCCAAAGGATCTTTGGGGAAAAGGTAAAACAAGTGGTTCTCTCTTGTGTTGTCAATGTGCCTGCTGCTCCTTAACGTGTGTGCCGAGCCCCGCTTAGCGGAGGGGGATGTGCCACTTGTGTCTTAAGGAAAAATGTTTTTGCTTCGGGTGTTAAATATTCAAAATGAGCTCGCAAAGGAAAGCGTTAGTTTCCCTGTGTGTTTGGGAATTGCAGGGGTTTTTGTACAGAGGTTGGCTTCAGCCACTTGGAATTAGAGATGGGGCCCCGAGATTAGAAACCTTGAAAGCTGAAGCAAACATTATTGAGGCTCAGTATTTCGTGCTTAATGTAATGAACTCGTGGAATACTTGAGCAATACCATTGTCGCTGACTGGAGAGTCTTAAATTTGGTACAAGTGAAGATTATGGACACAAGAGCATTTTTCCTTTCATTTTTCCTTTTTTTTTTTTTTTTTTTTAAATTATTTGGAAATATGCATGGGGGTATTTAAACAAACACATGGAAAATCCCCTAACTTTTCTTAGCCTGAAGTCAGGAATTCACATTTCTTATAGCTGGTGCTTGGTATCTCAGTGTGCTCTGAGACACTTTTGAGCAATGTTTGAGTACAGATACGCGATGCACGATAAGGCTCCCTGAAGTTCTCACGCTGTGGGCCCTAAGCCTTGAGCACGTGGGATTTTGAGGGTCCCTGACCACCTGAAAACCCCTCCCAGGCTGTAAGAAGTGTTGGACGTTTGCTGTTTCTTCTTCCTACAAAGAATTGAATCAATGTAATAGTATAATGGGAACTGGCATCGCACTATTACCTCCTCACTAAGATGTAAAATGAAAAGCCTGACCTCTCAGGGTCGTTAAAGATCCCGTGGCAGCTTTCATTAAGTATGATTTTTAACTCCTCTACCTGTGTTGAATTCCGAGCAAGTAATTGCATTCTGCCTGTCTGAAATCCCCCCTCCACTGCAGTCGGCTGTATTCTTAAATATTTACTTACGTGCAGCAGCCGTTGCTACAGGTGAAAACACACATCGTTATAATTCATACCCCAAAAATCAACCAAATATAGGCCTAGTCTCAAAAGTCCCAATTATTTTTGTTTGAGAACAAAATACATGCCAATCATTGCCTGTTTTATCTGCCTGTGTGTGCCTGGACTCGGTGTTTTTCCTGTTAAAACTGATGAAACTATCTGACACGAAATATGAAAAGCATGCAAATCCCGCACCAGCCTGCTGCTGTCCTGATCCTGCAGGAAAAAAAAACCCCATGTTCCAGAAGGAAACACGGCAGGGGAAAAAAAAAAAAAAAAAAAAAGGCATTTCCATCTGAGTATCTACAGATGTCATTTTGCAGTTTTTCTGATTGTCCACACAAAACCAATTCGAGCGATGCAGTAGAAGGAACCCAAAATGACTTAAATGACCCCCTTTCCACTTCCAGTGTGTTAACGTGCCGTTCTTGGTTGCTTCACTTCAGGTATTGGGGCTGTCCCAAGGAAGTGTCAGTGACATGCTCTCCAGGCCAAAGCCATGGAGTAAATTGACCCAAAAAGGCCGAGAACCATTTATTCGTATGCAGCTCTGGTTGAATGGTGAGCTGGGACAGTGTGTCCTGCCCGCACAAGGGCAGCAACAAGGACAAGGTAATTAAAATTCCACTATGTTGTTTGAGTTGAGGAGGAGGAAATCTTCTTTTTTTTTTTTCTTTTTCTTTTTTTCTTTTTGAAATTTGCAGTAAGCCAGCCTTGCACCAGTGCTGGCCCAGGCCTTGTGGAAGTGGCAGCATCCACCCTGGCAGCCCAGCCAGTCCCTAAGGGAACGTGCTGGGAATGTTTATGAACAAAGCACTCGTTTATGCGTAATTGATAAGCAGCAGTTATCAAGTTCCTAATTAGGGTGATATTATCTAGGCATGAATATGAGACGTAATTCCAAAAATTTTGGCCAAAGAGCTGGAAAATGTTGCGTGCTGTTTCCTAGGGCTGCATAGGGGATTTGGATTGCCCCAGGGAGAATATCGATTGCTGTCTCAGGAGGTGAGCTAGGAGAGCTAAGCTCTAAAGGGGGAATGCTGCATTGCAATTGCACTTTTATTGTGGCTGTCTCTTACCCTAATTCCCACTGGCACAGAAAAGCCAGGCTGGAGTCTGGCCTCGGTCGTACCTTTATATGCCACTGAGTTAACTGAGCAGAGAGCCCTTGCCAAGATCAGTTTGCTATTTGTTGAGCCTGCTTACTGTTTAGTTTGTGGTTTGGCATCTCCTTTTATTGTTCCCTGATTTTCCTCTCCTCTCTTATCTAGTCCTTCACTCTGTGACATCATTACAGGATTCCCTACAGCAGGGATGTGCAAGCTCAGGTAATCAGCTGGTTTCAATGATTTGCTCTGAAATAATTCTCTGTGCTTTTGTTACATTTCGTTTGCTTTGATGCCGAGAGGTTTCTCACATTGTGTTGTGTCATACAGGAGTCCCTTCAATTTTTTTATTAATGCAGTTAATTCCTCCTTCTCTCCTTGTTGCTATGGCAGAGGTAGGGAGTACACATATTTAGCTGCATATATTAGGTAAAGAGACTCTGTGTGATCTTGGAGATCATTGGCTCAGTAGGGGTGGTTTTTTTTGCCATAGTTCAGCTTATCAGTGTGACATGTGACAATGGCTGTAAAACAAGCCCTTGGTTTGTAATGTGATCCACATACTGCAGCTGCCTCACTCGCTGGTAGGTTTTTTTCCACTTTCCTTTGCACAGAATCTGCTTTGTTAATTCCAAGGTAGGGAACACACCACGTTAATGGCTTTTTCAAGCTTCGTTAAATATTCCAAGCTGACCTTTTTTTTTGTTTCCTCCTTTCCATTAAAAAAAAAAAAAAAAAAGCAGATGCAGCAAAGCTGAGTGTCAGAGAAGTGAGTGGCTAAAGGTTTTAGAAGATGGCCACGGGATGGGAGGGAGGCTGGAACAGACCAGAACAGCTGTGTTCCTGCTGTTGGATACCAAACTCTACCCACACAGACTTTCACCAATGATATGCTTCACTGACACAAACCACTCAGGCTGTTTTGTACTCTAGAAAAATACTCGTGCCCTTACAGCCAGTGCCCTGTGTTGGAGAACTGCTGCATTTCAGGATACAGAGGGGGATGATTTGTGCTCTTTTTCCACCTTTCTGCTATTCTGAAACACTCTTTTTTTTCTGCAGCTTGCTGGCTTTACTCTTAATATCCAAACCAAACTGCTTTTCCTCTCTACTGGGAAACTATTTTGCATTCTAAAGGATTTTACTGGAAGAAAATCCGTGGTGATATTCAGTCCACGTTTTTCTTAAGAAGAGCAGTTGAAAATAAACAGATAAAAGCAAGAAAAAAAAAAATGCCCCCAGTAAAAACAAGCCATGAAAACAAAACCAAAATGTGAGAAAATGATTTGCAATCATAGGGCTATTGTTACTTATTGCCAGGCATTTAGGGAACATGGAAATTTCCTGTGATGGTTCGTTAAAAACATGCCATTGACTACTTTTTTTTGTAGCATCAATACCGTGCAAGAGTAAAGTGTCACAGTTAGAAACGCCTCAGACAGCGTGGAAAATATGAGTAATTAATTGTAGCCATTTTAAGAGGAATTTGAAATCAGAGGAGCTGGGAAATGCGGCATTGTTATTGCTAATCATCATATTTATGACTAACTCTAATTATAAAAGATTGAAAGACAAGCCCATAGTATTAAAATCCGACCACCTTGTGGATTCCTGAGAGGATCGCTGGGAGCTGAAAGTGATTTCCTTCAGGAAGTTCAGTTTTGCTGTCGGGATATTTTGTTCCCTCCCACACTCCCAGTCTCGTTTGTCAGTTCCTGCCCTTGAGCTAATATTTTGTGAGGAGGCACGTTCCTATCAGCTAATAAAATCATATTATTGATGATGGTCCTCCCCCCCTCCTTAAAGCCCCTTTACAAATGAGAAAACGAGCTTGTGCCCTTTTCTACCTCCTCTCCAAGGAATTAAAAATAGAATTGTTGTACAAAATGTTCTTTTCTTGGTGCCTTTCTCTGTGTAAAGGAATAAGGAAGGTTGTGACACCAGGCAGAACAAAAGAGCAAAACCAAGTTATTTGAATGAGGACGGGCAGTTTGGTAATTTCCTTTTATTAGCAGCTGTTCTGTAATTAAAAGCGCAGCAAACAGTTTGGAAAAGGTAATAATAATTATGCATTTGTGAAAGATCCACCACTCCAGGGCAGAGACAAAAAAAAAGAGAGAGACAGCTCCAATTTTCTGGTCTTCTGAGACATTTCCCAGGAAAATCAAGGCAGAAAAGGTTGCATACTTGTAATTTTAAAACAGAAATTAATCAGAACAGTTTTGAAACAAGAAAAGGTCTGGAGCCTTTTCCATGTAATATAATTGGCTTGGAACTTGTTGAATGCATGAAGGGAAAGAAGTGAAATTAAACTCATACACTCAGTGGCTCCTGAGTGCTTTGCCAAGAAGGTCTTCAGTGTACAGAGTGTCAACATGCATAGTAACAAAACTTTTATTAGCTGGGAGTATTTTCATTACTGTTTGGCACTATTGTATCAAATTAGCGAGATTTTCTGGATTTCTGACCCAGTTAGTTACACTTCGAGATCATAAGGTTTTGATTTACACCTAATTCATGAAAATCTTGTCTTTTGTCCAGTAATTTTCCGTTTTCACATGTGGGCGGATGGACCCATTAGTGCCTCATATGTGGGAATGAATGAATAAAATATATGTATTTTATGTAATTAGAGAGAGAGAGAGATAACAAAAAGAATCCAGGCTTGGTTTTCTCCTTTGAAAGCTATATTTATGAATTTTGTGAAAAGCAGCCTATACCAAAATGGCAACCAGGTATATACCTGTATTTTCTGCCTGTGACCTTTCTTCAGTGCTTTGGTGATTTTGTGTAAGTTTCAGGGAGCATGATTTACACAAAAATGGTGTTTGTACCCTAGGTGGTCAAAAATAGTATCACTGTGCCTTTTCTAACATTTTTTCTGTGTATTTCTTTCCACCTAAATGCTCTAATGCCCTTGGGTAAATCTGCCTTTTTAATGATTTATGTGTCAAAAGCACAGACCAAATCACATGGAAAAAAAAAGTTGAATTAGTGTCACCCAACTGCATCAGCATTTTTTCATGATGAATTTGGCCCTTATTTAGTTGCATTACTGATGATGGGAGCTGGGGTGAGGTTTGGACAGTCGCCATGTGCCAGGAGAAGGCTTGGATATTTCTCTAAATACTTGTACTGTGTAGAGCTTTTATTAGTTTGTTTTATTCTGGGGTCTTGTCCTGCGTGTCTGTACGAGCTTTAAGAAACAAGAGTTTCCTTTTTGGTGCCGTTGATTTCGTGGCTGCTCCCAGGAAAGCTGAATTTTTATTCACTTCTGCCTTTATCCTCTGTGAAGGACATACACTCTCTATATACTGCATTAAAGACTTGCAAATACTCAGTGGGAAAAAGACGTGCCTTTTTGGTATGTGTTTCTGTAAGGGTCGTCTTATGACCTAATGTGGAAATCTTCATTTGCCGATACAGCTGCGGGTGATCTCAGGGGATTTTGAATTTCCCTTTTGTTTGTCTTCCTTTCTGGGTATCATCCATCATTCCTAACCTCATGCTGCTTAGCAATAGTAACACTCATGGGAGCTGAAGAAAGGATTATAACAGCATAAAATGGGGAGCTAATTAGAGCTTGTTTCAAAATCAGAATCTAGCTCGAGATAATTGCGTATTATCTGGTGATTTAAAAACCCAAGATCTACTGTATTTAGATCAACTAAAATATGCATAAAAGCTTCCTTTTCGAAATACAACATTTGTAACAACAGGCAGATTACTTCTTATCATCCCTTGGGAAAGCAAATCTGAAAAAATTGAGTGTGGCTTGCTGTGCTTATGATATTAACAGATAGAGTGGGGAATGATGGCAAACCCGGGTATCCATTGTATTTTTATTTATGTTATACAAATTGTTGGAACATTTTTCAGAACAGAAGCTGCAGAGTGGGCAGGTGGTTCACTGTGTGCTGTGAGGATCTTCCTGTTTTCCTGATCCCAGGAGGAATGTGTCACGTTGGCTACTCTGGGAGAAACAAAGTGGAGAGAGAGCGTGTTTGGGGCTGGCAGTCCATATTCAGGAATACCATCCAGATGCACTTATGGGAAGAGCTCACCAGCCACATGGGGGCAGAGGAGAAGCTCTTACCCCATGTCCCCATGGTTTAGGGTCATTTATTGTACTGGTTTCTTCTGGCTCTTCAGAGCTGTCTGGGGCTTGAGAGCACAGCTGGGATTAGCACGTGGAGAGCTGAATTCTTAGTACCATGTGATCGATCCCCCAAGTGATCTGACAGATCTTCCCAGATTGGAACTGGTTTTTGTTGTCGAATCAAAAAGATGAGAGAGATGTTTTTGTGGTCATTTGCTGGCATTCCAGGTTAATAAAAATGTGTGATGTGAAATGTCTGTGGTTAATGGAGTCTGTGAAATGGAAGAGGAGGGACATCCCATGGCTCCAACAGCTGAGTGGTTGGACTGCAGGAATTCCTTGCATAGATGGTTTGTGTTTGATGACGAAGTTTTGAGTCTGTGGGTTCAGAAGGTTGTGACCTTTTGTGTGAGGTGCAGATGCATTTTTGAAGTTCAGAGCTGAACAGCTACGTCAGCCAAGCAGTTACCCCCATGCTGTCCCTGGAGCACACTGGTGTGTACTGGTGAAGTTTCCACATTCCTCCAGTGTGGTTTGGGATTGTGGCTCAGGAACAGTTGGCCTTGGCTGTCTTGATTTCAAACCATAGGATATCACTTGGCTCCTCATAAGGGCAGCTGCTGTAGTCTGTCTGTGACGTGTGTGATCATATTCTGTGCCATTTCCCTGACATTTGGACCATGAGGACCTCCCTGGCAGCCTTTCTGGTATCAATAAAGTCAGGAGAATCGCTGTCAAGGCACCTTCCTGGGACCTGGGAATGCAGCATGAAGCCAGTTTTTCAAGTTCATTCTGAACATAACATTGGCTCTGATTGCTGGTTATTCCCTCCTCCTGCTGAGGTCTCTCCTCCCTAGGATGCCTTGCAAAGGCCTTGGTCTTTTTCCATCACTGATGCTTTGCAAATAGTATTTATGGAGAAATTCCTGTCTTAGTTGCATTCTTCTCTGTCCATTAAACCACCCAGACATTAAACTTGTAGAATATGACTCCATCCTCACTGTGGTCACAGCTTTGCTGTTATAAAAGTGCTAAAGTGAAATAACTAATCAGAGAGTGAGCACTGTTTTCTGGGCAGATATTCCTTGTGGCTGAATTAAAATGACAAAACACAACACACTTA